CTTTAATGACTTGTTTTTCTTTAAATCTCAAGAATTTCCTAAAGGTTATTTCGGAGAAATAAATTTTATAAATTTGGAAATTCCTTGATCTGGAGAAACAAAAGATTTCGAGAAAGTTCTGTCATTAGCGGCACATTTAGGTCTCTGACAGAAGTCTGAAAGTGCAAGATCTTTGGATGTAAATCTCGGATTATTTATGAATTCATGAATGTTGTTTGATACGAAATTACAATATCATTATCGCACAAAATGACGAGAACAGTTCAGTGCTTTAATGTTAGGCTTCAAAGATTCCTATGGCGAGAAGGTAAACATTTGGATGCTATTATTCTTAAAGCAAAAGGATACACCTCTAGCACAGAAGAATCACGATGCTCATAATTGATAATATCATACAATGGTACGTAATTACCGTATTTATAACAGATAGCTCTGACTTGCGCTGAGAAGTGGTCCCCAGTGTTTCTTGTGTTACCGTTTACGCAAAAGAGCATATTACTAGCCCAAAAGGAGTTAGGCCAAAAGGGCTATTAATTTCGTTTAGGCATTTTCCGCCGAAAACTTTAAATGTCAGCTCACTTTTTCAAACTGTTGCCACCAAATATTATCACTCTATGTTATACAGTGTGTTTATAAAGTCCCGGATCCATTTTGATGTTTAATAACTCATAAAATAATAAAGATATAAACAAACTTATGGCATTTATTGATGGAATAACTTATATATTTTCCTTTTCAGGTTTGAATATCTTTACCTTTGTGAATATCGTCTGAGCGTGCGGCTAATTTCAGATAATTTCATTTTCCAGTCTAAATATCTGTACTTTTCTAAATATCGTCTGCTTATTAATTGCAATTTTTACAAGGTTATTAAGAAAAAATTAAGAGTCATGCATACGATGTTCAAATTGTTCAAGTTTTGGAACCGGACGATAGGTCTAGGAGGATGGCCTTTGCAACAGATATGCTAAGGAAGATAGATGATGATGATGAATTTCTGAAGCGCATAATGTTCTCTGACGAAGCATCCTTTCATCCTTCTGGCATTGTTAATCACCATCTGAAAACCCCCATGAATACCGCGAGGCACAAAGATATTCCCCAAAGGTTAATGCGCGGTGTGGACTAATGCACGACCGAGTCATTGGGTCTTTCTTTTTTACAGAAAAGACGGTCTCATCAGTCGTATACTTAGACATGTTGCAAAACTTCGTATTTCCACAACTAGAAGAGCTTCAGCCACATGTCTTTCTGCAACAAGGTGGTGAACCACCTCATTGGGATACCATTGTTCGTAGTTCTTTGAATGACCATTTTACAGAAAGATGGATTGGGCGAGGAGGTCCAATTCTTTGGCCACCCAGATCGCCTGATATAACACCGCTGGACTTTTTCCTTTGGGGATTTGTAAAGAGCAACGTTTACTGGAGGAGAGTGTCGAACATGGATGACCTAAAAGACAGAATTACTACAATAAGTCTCTGTGGATGCCGACATGCTTGCCGGTACCTGACGTGAAATTGAATATCGACTTGTTATTCTCCGGGTGACGAAGGGGGCACACGTGGGAGTTCATTGACAAGGGTCATGAAACTTTTTGAGCCTATCTAACCATTTATGTTATTAATTTCAATCTATCTTTATTATTTTATGAGTTATTAAACATCAAAATGGGTTCGGGACTTTGTAAACACCCTGTATTTAAAGAAATTAAATAATGAAGAATCTGCATAATTGTATGTATGTTTCTCGCATTGTGATAAAACAACAGTACCTAGAGCCATCAAAATTTGAATAACGTAATCTTCCACCGAATATTGGCATCTGGAAGACCTAATTTGAAATCTGGAATTAGCTTTATTATCGGTTTTATATTTTGTAAAACTTTAACGAATTTTTGATTAACAAACTCAAGGATTTCAAAGCGAGCGATGGCAACAGTGTACGGGAAAAAAATTTTTATCTCCAGCGCGCGAATACTGTGTATCGGAAATTCTAAAGATATGCTCATTTTAAAATTATTTTGCGGTATCGCTGCTGAATTGAGTTTTATGGTTTAAGTGCAAAGAACATTTAAAAAGTAAAGGTAACATAGAAAAGGTTAAAAAAAAGTCCCTTTGGACTTTAAAATAATACTTTAAGTAAAATATGAAAAGTTTCAGAGTTTTTTTATTTCTATTGTCTTTTTATTTTCATTTCATGCTTTGATGAGTATTCTATCATATTATTCAATCTACGTGAGTAATAGCACAGATTCTTGAGAAGATCTCTTGCATTGTTACAGATGTGTAGACACTCTCTGCATAATTATCCATTTCACCGTTTTCCCTGAGACAGATTCATAGCTTTGAAAAGTGTCGTCAGAGGCTTTGAACTCTCATACAACATACATGTAGTATTTTCTGTAATATTTCTAAACTACATTTTTAGGTGTCATTTTTCATGATTAAGATATGAAAGATTTGATAAACATGTTCATGAGAAAAGTCATTTTTACTTCCTTGTACGAAGCAAAAAGGAAGTATTGTAATAGCGAAAAGTTTCAGGCAGCATATTTCAACGAAAATATCCATTTTGACCACTATCGAATGCAATTTAACGATGTTTTTGCGTGATAGCTGTACGTAAGGACAGAATAAAAGACTCGTTTCCTCCAAAAAAATTATAAAACTGTTTTAAAATTAATTCTGAAGAGAATTTTTCGTGGCGTCTGTACGAACGTATGTACGTACGTACGTACTTGCGTACGTATCTCGCATAACTCAAAAACGAATAGCCTCAAGAACGTTGAAATTTTGTATATAGGACTGCTATAACATCTAGATGTGCACCTCGTATTTTGGTTGCAATCGGCCGCACCAACGTATATAAATGTATTTATATATATATCCACTCTGTTACCCGGCTCAGTGATCTCAGTATCTTTACTCTTATATGTTTGTAAATTGTACATTTTTTGCTTTAAAAATGATTGAATTATCTTGTTTTTATCTTCCGGTTAAGGTTTTTATGCCTTTAGTAAATCTGTATGCAATATTTTTAGAATTATCAACAATTTTAAGTTGTTTAAGTGCCGCTAAGCATTTTTTTTTATGGCGGTTATTGATTGTTTACATTTAAAACAGCAGACTAGTGGATTTGTTGCCAATCTAGAGAAACTTAGCTTCGCAACAACAAAGATAACGCCTTCATTGATTATTGCCAATTAAATCATGCTTAATCCTTTCTGGAATTTTTTTCGAGGAAATAAGTGTTTAAGATTTACTTCGTAATTTTTAATATAGATATTTTGAGTTTTTATGTATTTTTGCCTTCTCGCGAAGTGAGAACTGAATTAAGTGAATGAGAAATACTCAATCGTCTGTGAAAAACTGTTGTTTCTTTTTTGTTTTATTTGCTTAATTTCTTTTATACATCATTCTAGCTTTATTATTTATTATAGTATTTGAATAGAACATGTGGCAACGATTAGATAATTCTATTCTTTAAATGATATAAATTTTGTGCATTATGAGTTATAATATGAACGAAATATAATACTGTGAAGTGATACCGCCAAAGTGTCGCTATGGTAAACAAATACTAGAGTGAATTTTAAAGAATGCATTTATTCTATTGTGGTTTATGCGCTGTCGGCATTAAGTAGATTTAATTCAATCCAATAAGTTTAAATGAAATGCAAGAAAAAATGCATATAATTTAATATTCTGTACAAGGAAGTCATGTGGTGTACACATCAGATTTTTTTGTCCTCATTGAAATGGCATGTATTGTGTATATTGTACAAAGTCACTTTTTTGTCATTGAAATAGCATATATTGTATATATCGTACAGAGTTGTTCTCCAATTCATAAAAATATTCTTTAATATAATCTGAAATATCTTGACATTCTTTACTGCCTATATAGAATGATGACCTCTTTTATTAACTTGACTTGAGCTGGTGCAATTCTACATACGTAACGGAGAAGAAAAATCTGCAGACGTGACCATAGAAGAGACATAATTTATTGCTGGATATTCTTATACATATTCTCAGTCACTCATAATTATGGGTGCGGCGCGCATCCAACAATTTTATATAGTGTTATCTAATCCTTAGATAATGAATGACACAGAGAGGCGAATTAGAAGTGCTAGCAGAGCGAGAGAAAAGCGAAAAGTAAGTACGCATTTAGAAAAGCGAGAAAAGAAACAGCGGAAGTAGCGTTTTTTTTATGCTGATTTGTGAATGGATAAAAATTATCCATATTTCTACGTGTTACATAATATGGCATGATAGATTAATTTTGAGATATGAATTTCATTAGGACAAGAGGAGGTAGCCAAATTAAAACACATATATGTATACATTTATACATATTTTACATATTTAGTTCTGTATTTAAGATAGTCATTGGATATTAAAATCGTTTAAAGATTCGGGTAACACTCTTCAAATCAACGAGTCTGTCTTGCGGGAAACGGTGAAGTACCTATTCTCCTATCAAATCGGTTAATGAGGAGAAATATTTTCTTATCTCAATCATGAGAGAAATACTGTGATAGAAGATAAATGTCTCAACAAGTCAGTAAATTTTTCTCATCTTCTCCGATCATTCATTGAATAAAACAAACTTTTTCTTCTAATTCCAAATTTGATTACATGATATTGACTATTTCTCTTTCTAAAAGAACATAAAATAATTTCTATCGATAGTCCGTTTTATGATAATTACTAATCTGCCTTTAATTATTAAAAGGAGAAGCTTTTTCTAGTCATGATTAGGATTTTATAAACATTACCGACTCCTAGAATAAAGGTGAGTATTGCAAAGTGAGTAGAAGTTACAGGTTTTAACTTTTTAATCAATTAAAGAAACGATATGTCACGTACAGAACTGAGCATAGGGAGTAACAACAAGCTGAAAAATACTCTAAAAAATTAATTTTTTCAATAGCAAAATTATGGAACGAATTGAAATTAAGATAGCAGGTATTCAGGAAGATTCTAACTCACCATTAAAACACTGGGGATTCTGTTGCTTTAAAATGTCACCGACACCTTTCAGAGACTCTTTGCAATGCTTATGCTTCCGTTTCCCCAAAGGAGCGTCGCAACAAGGGCATTTTGCTGGGACACTGGTGACAGCTTGGGCAGTTTCACATATCTTCTGAGCTAGAGTCTGTGTCTCAGTGCATATTTTCTAAAAAAATTTTTTAAAGATTTACTGCAACCTCTTAATTTACAGGAAGTTTTCACCTGAGATATTTCATTTAAGTATTGAAATTATAACTTTAAAAATTTACGCATTGCTTAATGTAAGGAATATATGTACACGGCGGGCGAGAGTTAACTCGCTTTTGAGAATTGCTTATTATCTTTTAAATAGTTACAAACTTTTCATGAAACAAAAACCATTTTTTCCTTACAATAGTAGAATTTATTACAGCGATATTTATTTCGTGACTGCAGGTATCAGTGGCGGTTCATCTAACATCATGTGAGCGGGCTTAGCTGGCATCCCTATAACCATCCTGGTTTGGAATGGATGTCAGGTTAAACGACTTTCGCAAGGTGCCTGTCTGTGTGATCACTTCGAGTGACTATTTCTTGAACCACTTGCACATTGCCTTCCGTCCTGAATGCTCAGTGGCGACCGCGTCTCCTAACATATGATACAAAACTTGTGTCCATTAGCTTCGTGTGGCAATTCCTTATGGTCTTTGCGTCAACCGAGGCACGAGGTCCTTTCACATTTCGTCACCATCTCTTACTATCAGCTGAGTTGCTGTACTACCTGTTATATGACTGTCAGCATTTGTACTTAAATGGTGGAACATTCTGTTGTTGCTAGGCCTAGCCAAAAATCTTTATAGAATATTAAAATTGAGCGGAATTTATAAATTTACTTCGGAAGATGGATATTTGTGACCTGTGGTTATTAAAGAGACCCTGTCAAAACTTTGATTATGCTGCTGAATGATTTTTAATTAATTTAGATTGCTTTTAGATGTTCGCAGTTGACTGCCAGGTAGTCTATGAGAGTTTTAAGTTTGTTTTGCAGAAGCTTATTCTTTTGAAATCGTTTCCGCCGTACCTGGGCATTTTCAGCTGTATACGGCCGGAAATGTAGATCTTTCGTAATTTTGAGCTTGAACATATAGTAATCGATGGCTGTTGAGCCGCATATGCATAAATCTGTGTGGTGCAATCCAAAGCGAAAGAGATAGGCTGCAAAAGGGCCATGCGCCATCAGGAAATATGTCATTCATTGCTCTGTCTGTAGTGGTTAATTCCCTTGAGGGCGCCGGGTGGACGAAATTAAATGTCCTCTTGCCTGTTAACTCTAGTGTCCAGTTAGGTTTCCACAGGGACATAAGGTCCCGTTCCTGTCTTGATTTAAGATGTGAAAATGGAATTCGCAGAGAGATGGCTGCGGCAAGTTGTCCGTTTCCACTATTTCTTGCCAGTTGGTCGGCTGCTTCATTGCCTACTGTGCCCACATGGGCCCCCCCCGGTGTTGACTCAGGAGAATTCCTGGAAAGTACAGGCTAGGATCTGTACTTGAACAGTCTCAACCACGGAGGTAGAAAATCTTCACAGGACTGGAACCCGAGTTCGTTCAGATTGGTCCAGGCTTGGCAGGGACTATACTGGTACTGTCGTGTCTGCCACTCAGTCGTGGTGTCGTTACATTTTAGATAGATAGTGCGGAGCGGCATTTAATTCCGATTGGCAATAGCCTTAGGACGGAAGTTGTCCCGTCACAAGCGATGTGCCCACATGGGTGTTTGTTCAGTGAAGCTTGGAACGGATATTCTCTGGTAAATAGGATAGTAAGTGTTAAATTTCCGTTGTACTTGTACAGAGGACAGTCATATTTTGTAGCGGGATTCCAGCTGAGTTTGCTCAAGCGAGGTTTAGACATTGTGTCATGTCACGCCATTGATATCTGCAATGACGTATGAAATATCATGTAATAAATTCTAGCATTGCAAGGAGCAAAATATGTTTTGTTTCATTAAATTTCTTTACGTTTTTTAAAAGTTATAATCAGTTTAATAGGGAGGTAATTTTCTTCCATCTCATACATAAAAGTAATTTTTCATAAAATATAATTCTAAAATTCCATTTACTTACATGAAAGAATTTCGTTAATGGAACAAAAATAGAAGATTTACGAAAACAATTTCCATTTCAGTCTTGTTTTAATTTTTATCTTCTAATTGAACTATAACAAAACTCATTATTGAATTAAATTTTCTCAACGGTATTTTTTTCGAATTAGCAGAAAAATACTGTCTTCGGTCTGTCTCCGACAAAGGAGAATGTTTAGGAGTAACGCCTGCGCGTTAATCGTAAGCGGCCCTGAATCGTCTTGAAAAACTATTTCTTTTTCTAATTTCTTTTATATATCGTTTTAGTTTTATTATAGTATTTGAATAGAACGTACGGTAACGATTAGATAATTCTTCAGATGATATAATTTTGTGCATTCTGAGTTATAATGTGATTGAGATGTAACTTGCTCAGTAAACGTATTGCCAGAGTGACGCTCTGGTAAATAAATTTACTAAAAGTTCAAAGAGTATTTTTATAATATGTATAGTGTTTTAATGTTGTGGTTTATGTGCTATCAACGAAGTAGGTAAAATTCATTATTTTTCTAATATGTACAGTGTAGTAATACTGTGGTTTATGTGCTATCGACGAAGTAGATTAAATCCAATTTAATACAGTATTATTTGGAATACTCCGCTGTAGTACTAACAAGACTTATTTTTTATTCCGAAACACAATAAAATAGGGAATAGGAGAAAAATATTATTTGAAATTTTCTTTCCACTAACTTAACTAACACCAGTAAACAGAAAAACCAATTCAATTTAGGAAATTCGTATACATGCAAATAAGAAATTAGTAAGAATGAAAAATTGTTAAAAAACAATTTTGGTAATAAATTCTCACACAAGAAGCACTATTCACTTGAAACGCTTAAGCGCTTTCATCACTGTATCTAGTTGAGCTGTTCCTTGATACTAAGAATGCAACAACGTAAGTGAAAATACATGTAAGTAAGACCAGTGCCTAAGAAAGGTACAACACAGAGAGAAATGATGATCGTTCTGACGACGAACAACATCTATTCACCATCAAGATCTGTTGTGCATCATAAATAAAGATATGATAGCCATGCCAAGTCTCTGCATTGGCCAACATGCATTAAATGGACTACCCTGCAGGCTGGCCAAATTGATTGAAAATACTCTTATAGAGAAGATAATACTTCTTTGCTAGAAGCCGGTTAATCACACTGAACGGTTATTAAATTTGGTGTAACGAAAGGGCTTTGAAGATAATGTCAAAGATGTATGCATGATGATTTAGCTTGCTAAAGCATACGAATACATTTTCCTACAGATTTGTTCGATACAAGTTCAAAAATAGAATTTTTAGCCCAACAATTTGCCCAAAAAAGCTATTAATTTCGGTTTGACAATTTGCGTTAATTCACTATAAACGCAGAATCACTTTTTAAATTGTTGCCACCAAATATTAGACCTCTGTATTACATTTAAAGAAATTAAATAATGAAGAATCTGCATAAATGTATGTATTTTTTCATATTTTGATTTCTGAACCAAATTTTGAATAACGTGCATCTTCACCCGAATATGGGCATCTGAAAGCCCTAATTTGGAAGTCGGATTTTGTTTTATCGATTTCATATTTTGTAAAGCAGTTATGTGTTTTTGATTAAGAAACTCAACGATTTCAAAGCGAGCAGTGGCAACACCGTACCAAAAGAACAAAAATTTTCTCCAGCGTGGGAGGCTGTGTATGGGAAATTCTAAAGATATGCTTTTCTAAATATTTTGGGATATTGTTGTTGAATTGAAGTTTATGGCTTAAGTGCAAAGTTAAAGGTAACACGCAAAACGTTAAAAAAACACCCCTTTGGGCGTAATATAAAATTTGAAAGCTTTCAGATATTTTTAATAGTAAGTTTATGTCATGCTTTAGATTTATGAAGTTATTATTAAACAAGATATGGAAGGAACTATGAAAGGGGGAATCTTAATATATATAAGCGGCTTAAGTGTTTGTTGCGGATAGTTTATTGTTGCCACTCTGAAAAATGAGTGCGGAAATTAATGTTTCCGCAATTTTTAATTAATATCTCGGGCGATTAATGTCGTACGAAGATGAGAATGGTATTGATGGATTCGGAGATTTTTTTGGAATCCGAAGATACGCGTCTCGAATTTCAAATCGGCGCCGTTCCGTAGATATTTGAGAAAAAAGAATTTTGCACTTAGCCAAATCCCTCTAATAGGGAAAACCCAAGAAAGAAAGTGGAAAATGTAGGGAAAACGTAGGGGGAAATTAGTTTTTAACTGCGGAATCAAACGGTGTGCTTCGCTAAGCCCGGGAGCCAGCCGTTTCCGAGAAGATAATGTTACTTCACCTCATATATATATGCGGCTTAAGTGTCTTTTGTCGCCGATAGTTTATTGGTTGCTACTAGGCAATGGGGTGAAGTTGCCACGGCACAAGGTTTCCGTTTCAATTGAGACGTAGACAATTTCCTGTAAAACTTGCCTTTGCTATGACCATCCATAAGTCTCAGGGCCAAACGATTAAGCTCGTTGGCATTTTTTTACCTGAGTCTGCATTTGGACACGGTCATCTTTATGTTGCCCGGCCAAGAGTTCGTGAAAGAACAGACGTAAAATTAAAAATAATGGATGGTCCTCTGCAAGGCGAGCTTAAAAATGATGGAAAGATCTACTCAAGAAATGTTGTGTACAAAGAGATCTATGACATGTGAATTAACATTTTATTATTTAAATCACCTTTATTTATGGAGCTAGTGGTGGCTCTTAAGAAATGTACCGTTAGAGATTTCCTTCATTGCACTCTACTTTAAGCAATTAAGCAAGAAGAAGGGGAAAACACCGTAGAGCAGTAAGCAAAGGGCCGTACTCGCCGCCTGCCCTGGGTAATTCAGGTTGAATTAGCAGACACCTTTGCACAAATTATTTTAAGTACAATTTATAGTATCTAGAACAGAAATAAGCCATGGGATGAAAGGTACCAGTGTCTAGTTTGAAAATTATGCGTGTGTGTGTGTGATTATGGCAAAGCCTCGAGGGCTATCTGCCTAAGGGGAGGGATGCCTTCGTGGCGGACTTTCTAAGG